GGGGGAGAGGAGAGGGAGGAAGAGGGGAAAAGGGAGACGGGGAGGGAATTGGAGGCGGGGAGGAGGCGGAATTTTTTTCAATAAAAATATAAAAAATAAATTAAAAAAACCTTTTGGAGATCCAATCTATAAACTTTAAATTTTAAATGAAGAAAAAGGGCTGTTCTTTTTATTTGAGACAAGGTTTTTGTGTTGTTTTAGGTCATTTTATTATAATTTGTTTCTGTAGTACAAAATGAATACATAAACCACACTACTTAATATTATGCTTTATATATATTAAAATGATCATTTTCTTTTAGTGTGTATGTATATGTGTGCATGCTACTGTGTAGGCCCACTTGAATGCCACAGTGTATTGCAGCTGTTAGTCCTTGTTTTTGATTTTCTTTGACACAGGACATCTCTTGTTGGTCACCACTTCATATACCAGGTTAGTATGCAAACTAAGCTTCTAAGAATTATCCTATTTCTGCCTCTAATACCCAAACAGATTTATTAGATTGCAAATGTCTGTGCTCCAGCATCCAGGTTTTACATATTCTGGCAATCTGAACTCAGGTCATTGGGGTTATGTAGCAAGTACTTTACCACTATACCATGTCTTAAATACCAAGAATAACCATCACAAGAATAACTTTTGTGATGTTAGAGATTTGTTAATTTAAAAATTTAGACAAAATGAATAAAAGGAAGTAACTATATTTTAGACAGCAGAAGCCACAACATAAATGAGGAAAACAAGATAAAACATGTGATAGGACAAATGAAGGTCAAAAGTTTTGTACTAATGATTTTTAAAGTTTAGGTGAAATGGACAATTCCTTAAAATTAAGCACACAAAAACTGAAATGGAAAACAGAAAATGAGTTATCATTTTCACAGTCATTATTAAAAAACTAACCGACATGTAGAGCGTGAGGTCTCAGCATCTTCGTTGGTCAATTTCTCCTTATTCCTGATTAAGAAGAAATAATAGTTACAAGCTCTTCAAGAAATAGAAAAAGTAGCTCCTTCCCTCTTGGCCTGCATAAAACGTACCTGCAATTGAATCAGTGACCTCAACACAAGACCCAATACTCTGTAACTGCTAGTAGAACAGGTAAATGGGACACTGCTTATAGGACTTTCTGAATAGGACTCCAGTAACTCAGTAAATAGTATCAATAACTGACAAATGTAATCCCATAACACAAAAAAGACTCTATACAGAACAGAAAAATTGTCAATTGAGTAGAGGCAGCCAACAGAATGTGAGACAATTTTTTTGCTAGCTATACATCTGACAAAGGATTGGTGTATAGAATACACAAGGAATTAAAATCTTTAAATATCAAGGAAGCAAACAACTCAGTAAAAATGGTTTATGGAACTGAACATAAAGTTTTCAATACAAACAATGCAAATGGGCAGTAAACACTTCAAAACTGTTTAGCATTCTTAGCCACCAGATAAAAGCCTAAGATTCCATCTCATCATAGTTAGAGTGGCCACCATCAGGAATATAAATGGCAACAAATGCTGATATAGATGTGGTTAAAGTGGAACCCCTATGCACTGTTATTGGGAATGTAAACTGCTGTAATCACTATGGAGTTATTCTACTAATTTTTCATGAAAAAAACAGATGACTTAAAATGGACTTAAGGTGAACTCAGCTGTTCTACTCCAAATTATATAACCAAAGGACTTTGTAACTTTTACAGAGATACTTGTGCATCCATATTCATTAGTGTTCTACTCACAGTATTTGAAAATGTAATCTAGATGTCCATCAACAGATAACTACATCAGGAAGTTCTGATAAAAACTCAAAGAATATGGCTTATTACCATTGATCTTGGTTACCCATCATAGTACATATGTACAATTTATTAGATTTACACAAGGTAATAACACTTAACTGGAAAGAAAACAAAAGCATGGAATTATGAGGTAAATGGATATAATTGGCAAAAGTTGTAATTGTTAAGGTCCCTGCCCCAAACACAAACACTACATGGTTTCTTTCATATCTGGGTCCTATCTTGAAATGTTTGGTTATGTGTTTTCAACTTGGAATACATTTGAATGTCAGAAAAGTAGAACTGTACATTGGAGGTATATTCAGGGAAAGGATATAGTAAATTATAGGTAAAATGCAAGAGTAGAGATGTGGTACTGTAGGCTGAATGATTCAAGCAAGTAGTAGAGTGATGGGAATATGAAAATGAGGGAGCAGGAGAAGTCTTAATTAAAGTGTGAAGAAGGTATATATAAACCAAAAATATTATAACTCAAGTTAAAAATATGAGAGGCAACAGTAAACCATATGTAATGTGACAGGGTGATACAATAATGAGGCTAAAAGGTTACATGTGGATGAAGGGATGGGCATGGGAGAGAAGGAGTTAGGGTACAGGTTAAGCCAAACTAAGGAGTCTTATGACAATCTACTGGTTTTTATACTGATTAAAAACTTTTTAAACAAGTTTGAACACATGCATCCCACATGGATGAACAATGTTGCTCCTGGAACATACCCATTATAAATTTAAATTGGTATAAATCTTGACTTATTAATACAAGTTTAAGGTCAACTTTATTATATGTATATGTATTTCTGATATTGAATAAGGTATTGTGAAGTTCATTTTTAAAATGTAATGTATAATTAGAAAATATAGGTTGTTAATGGATAAACATCAATAATAATCAAACTTATAGTCATGTTAGTTAGATTTTTCTAGATATATAAAGATATAGTTCAGTAAGATAGGCATTCTTCATATCTTTCAAAGACTACAGAATATGGCATTTAATGTTTTAATAACTTAGGGTTTTTAATGGCAATGAGACATATCTGCTCCTGGCAGCCCCAGCTACTTCAAGAGAAAGATGGACATTAAAGAGGCTCCTTATGGAGTTTGATAGCCATTTGGGCAAGAAACTGTTCTTGCCTGGACTGTTACGTAAACTGGACACAGAGAACCCACAGAGAGAGGACTGCTGAACTTGCCTAAAGGTGAGATGGTCTTTTGGGGTTCCCGATTCATGAAAGTCTGCGAGACATTCTGCAGGACACAGCAGAAAGTGACTAAACTGTCTTTGAAATTTCCTGCTTCATGGAAATGTCTGCTGGATACTATGGGCCTAAAGGCCAAAGATGGATGCCCCAACGGTACAGAGGAACTTTGGGTAATTGTACAGGCAACAAGATGGTTCTGTCATTTCTAAAATTTTAGAAGTTACTTACTCCTTGTTTGCTTAGGTAATATTATATCCTTCTGGAGTCTTTGATGGAGTTAAAGAATGGATACATAGTTATAGTTTTCCTTAGTTATGATAAAAGATAAAATAGATATAAATATTGTAACTGTAATTCTTGCTTGATGACTGTTTTGCTACTATGTTAAAATGAAAGCCTTCTTTTTTGTTTAAACAGAAAAAGAGGAAATGATGCGGGAGCGATTTCTTTCTTATCTGTTGCTTTCATTGGTTAATTAATAAAGAAATTGCCTTGGCCCATTTGATAGGCCAACCCTTAGGTGGGTGGTGTAAATAGAACAGAATGCTGGGAGAAAGAAGTCGAGTCAGTGAGTCGCCATGATTCTCCCGCTCTAGACAGATGCAGGTTAGGATCTTTCCTGGTATGCCACCTCGTGGGCTACACAGATTATTAGAAATGGGTTAGATCAATATGTAAGAGCTAGCCAATAAGAGGCTGGAACTAATGGGCCAGGCAGTGTTTTTTTTTTCCTCCCAGTTTTTACTTTTTATGTATTTATTTATTTATTTATTTATTTATTTATTTAAGATTT